ATGGGGAAGTGCCTAAAGCAGAGCAATCTAGCCGCGGCCATTTTAAGACTTGCAGACTTCAACTCCCAGAAGCAGTTGCTGGCTAGGGAATTCTGTGAGTTGAAGTCCAGAAGTCTTAAAAGTTGCCAAAATTGGATATGTCTTTCCCTGAACCTCTCTGTATGTTGATGGTGAAAGATGAAAAGATCTCCATTGTGAGGTCTCTCAAGTGATCCAACTTTAGGGAGAGTTTATACCTTACATCCGTGATGGTGAACCTATGGCACATGTGAAGTGGCACGCATATCTGGACTTTCTTTGTTTTTTCTTGAAAACGTTTCACTTCTCATCTAAGAAGTTTCTTCAGTTCTTTTGTGCTTTCTTCCCCTCTCCCAGGCAATATTTATTTGGTGGCTGTGACCTGAAGTCTTAGCTGAGCCAATATTCTGTTGACTAAAGGGATTCCCATTGGCTTTCCCAAATCCTTTTAATGTTTTGAAAGTGATTTAGGTCACCTCTGATTTCAGTGATCCAGAGAAATTGGGCTCAAGAAAGGCCATTAGCGGGGTTTTTTAAATCCTGTGCTAATTGCCAGGTAGGGACACGAGATAGAATGAAATAAAATGGCTGGAAATCCCCTATTCACTCAGTTTCGCATTTTTGTTGCAGGATAAGGTTTCTGGTAGAAATACCCCAAAGGTACGTTTTTTTTCAAGAGGCAACTGGCCTTTATTGGTTTTTTTCCTTGAAGATGTTTAACTTCTCATGCAAGAAGCTTCTTCAGTTCTTGGATTAATTTTTCAGTTTCTTGGATAAAAAGTGAAACATTTTCAAGGGGAAAAAAAAAAACACACGAAGAAATTCTAGTTGCCTTTTTTGAAAAAGCACCATTGAGACAACCATAACCTGGATGACTGAGAATCTCAATCTGGTAGAAATATTTTCCCAGGGTTGTTAAGCACAACCCTGTGGTTGTTAAATGAATCATAGTTTTTACCTGAATCCAGCATCCCTCACTGACTTTGCTTGACATAAGTTTACTGGGAAGGTTGCAAATGATAATTGCACACAACCCTGGGATGTGCTACAAGCATCATAAATACAGGCCGGTTGCTAAGCATCTGAATTTTGATCACTTGACTGAGGGGATGCTACAAGGATCATAAGTGCAATGAGCAGTTGTAAGTTAACATTTTTTTAATGTTATCATTAATTTCATTCTCTAAACCAGGGGTGTCCAACCTTGGCAACTTTAAGCCTGGAGGA